AGTATTGACGACAGAGATGTATACTTCTGTTACATGGATCTCTGGAGAACGACTAAAGAACGGGAAAACTTACAGTACCAAGGTATTTGTAATCAGAACGCATTGAGACTGCGTGTAGATGCTTCTACTGGTGATAGTACCGTCGTAGAAGATAAGGCTGTTGCTGATGCATTAGTTAACCGATTCTATATTCCGCTTGACTTTGAATTACTAGATAGTCACATTCCCTTCTATCAAGCATTCCTAGGCGATAGGTTAGAATAAGAACTCACTTTTAATGACTACAGCAGAGTAATCTAAGTCACTGGGGATGAAACGGCTAGCTATTCTATTGACAATATCTCACTGGAGTACGATATGATAACAGATCCTGAATGAGCCAGACAAATTCGTAACCAGTATACCGGAAGTTTAGCCATTTTGTACGATCGCGTGCTTTGACACCGAAAGATCACCAGGAATGAACTCCGTTCCTGTATCCGCAGCCCCAATTCAAGGCGGAGGATAACACATCTGAATCCTTACAGGTTGCTAGAAATGATCTCAGTGAATCAGATTCCCACACCTTGTGTTGTCTAAACAAGAGGACGTTTAATTAATTGACTTGTGTTCGTTCACTTAGAATAAATTTTGGTTGGCATATATAGTGTTATTTGGTCAACTCAATTGCTGGGCTAGCTGTGCCACTCATACCCTATGGAAACCTTTAACATTCAGGTCTTCTGGAGTTTTGCTTTCTTAGCACTGAAAAGTCAAGCATTTCAAAGCGACAATTCACTGAAAATATACCCCAATCTCAGAAAAGCAATTTCGGCTGACTGTCATATTTGAGCTATCATTACTTACATTTAGTACTAACTACTAAATGACTTTATCGCGCGTATCCAAACCATGGGCTAATTACGTCTGTAACCCAATCACCCCTCGTAACTCAATCACCCCGGGTCACCACTCGGCACCGTGCCCGGGGAATAATCCCGCCCAAGCATCATCCCGCCCTTTGTTAGTCCGTCATTCGCGAACAGCTCTTCCCCAAGTACACACGTGTGTCACTGTATCTAATCGCTTTCGCTTTGTACGTTTCCTTTGTACCCAGTCGCGACCGTTTCACCGATTACGCTTTGAATACCATCTATTTCAGCACTCGCCGTATCGCATTTATTTCGTTCTACTCCCGAACGTCACCCTCGAGACAATTTTACGCTTGTGGAATACCAACTCACCACCTCGACCTTTCGTGATGCCTCCCAAGAGAAGAGCAGCCGTCAACCACAAGCTTGTGAGGGGAGCCAAGCAGGCCAGGACAACCAGAATACAAACCCCGGGAGTACACATTGTACAGGAGGCAACAGCTGATGGTGAGTCTGCCAATTACAGAAATATCGAAGGTGGCAACAGAATTAACGTACAATTGGCGCAGCTTGTAAATGCCGCGCAGGCTGCCAACTCGGCCACCCAGGTAAACGAGCAACTGGAAAAAATACTCCAGCTGCTGGAACATTCAGCGCTCGGCCCGGTTAGCGCAAACCAACAGGTAAGGCTTGGTTTTAGTTCTCCCGCCATTTCGCCCAACATAGGGAGAATCCCCGATGCTCACGAGGCCGACGGTGACGCGGCTTGGCCAGCCAATCACATCGCAGGATACGGGGATTCCCTTTCCTTCCGTGAGGACGGAATAGACGCGCACGTCAAACAACTGGTGAGGGAAAAAAGTAGTCGTATGTCGACCTCGGCACAATCCTACCAATTACCGAGGGAAGTCACGAGGACGGTACGATTACCATGGCGTACGACTCCTCAGGTAAGGTAATTTTTAAACCAATAAAGCAGCAACCAAAGCGCCTGTCCCTGGCAAGCTGGACTTCAGCTTTCCACATTTTCATGTGTATATATGTTAGTAGGCACTCCGAGGTCCGCACAACCCAGGGGTTGCTGTCCTACATGGAAACCATAAGAATGGCGGCACTTCGATTCGGGGGGGATGCCTGGTCAACCTACGACCAACAATTCCGACACAGAATGTCAAGGGACCCCTCACGACGCTGGGACAACATCGACGGGGAGTTGTGGCTGAAGTACATGGTAACACAGCCGGTACTACAACCAGAATCAGGCGGACAGGGCGCAATGACACGCGTACAGGGGGACATCGCCAGTCAGGTATGCTGGGATTTCAATAAATTTGGCTGTAGCAGCGTCAACTGTAAGTACACTCACAAATGCGGTAGGTGTGGCAAACATTCCCATAGCTCTAGGACCTGCTTTCGAGGGAATGGGGTCCAACCGACCCCATACAGGCCCAATGGTTTAACGGCGCATGGCCACCCCAGTGGGTGACGGATGGAACTACATGGGACTTGACGCTCCTGGAGCTGTTCCCCATCACACTGGCCATCCAAATCTGGGGCAAGCAACTCGCAAACAAAAAGGTCCTCTTTTACTACGACAACCAAGCCGTCGTAACAATAATCAACAAGCAGTCAACCAAGGCCCCCAGAGTGATGAGCCTACTCCGTCGCCTAATCCTGCAGTGCCTCCGATATAATATTATGTTTAAGGCAAAGTATGTATGTTCCACTGCTAACACTATTGCCGATGCTCTCTCAAGGTTTCAGCTCAAACGCTTCCGAGAGGCAGCACCAGCCGCGGACCAGAACCCCACACCTATCCCGTGCAACATATGGCTGATCTGAGGCAGGAAGCCGGCAGACTCCTACAACAATCTCTGTCTACTAATACATGGGCCACTTACCAAACGGGCATCAATGCCTTGCACCAGTTCCGGTCCACACACCAGCTACAAGAGGTGTGGCCAGTCCCGCTGGATCAGGTGGTAAAATTTATTGCTTATCTGTCAGTCACTCACCACTCCCCTAACACAGTCAAGACTTACATTGCAGCACTGTCTTCACACCACAAATTCCAAGGGCTCACCGACTGTACAAACCATTTCCTGGTAGGCAAGATTTTAACCGGCTTGCACAAATCAGCGGGCCGACCAGACACCAGAAAACCGATCACTGCAGATCTGCTGCAGGTAGTAACCAATAATCTGCCTCACGTATGCTCATCAGCATAGGAAGCCAGGCTGTTCAAGGCAGTCTACTGCACAGCCTTCTTCGGTTTCTTTAGGGTTAGCGAACTGGTCCAAACTGGACCCTCAAAAACAGGTTGCGCCATCCAGAATTTAAGCTTCTCGGGCAACCCACAGCAGCTTTCAATCCATTTACCACACTCAAAGTCTGATCAGTACAGGATGGGGACAACAGTTACAATGTCATCTATACCAGGTAATCCGCTATGTCCGGTAGTCGCCATCAAGCACTACCTGGAGGCGCGCCCCTCTGGCCCACAACATGCATTCGTTCACTTTGACCATTCCCCTGTTACAAGGTACCAATTCCAGGCACTCCTAAAAAAGGCCTTAGCACACAGCAACATAAACACGGCCTGCTATTCTTCGCACTCCTTCCGCATTGGGGCAGCCACATCAGCAGCCATGAACGGGGTGCCCGAACACCTCATACAACAATACAGCAGGTGGAAATCAGATTGCTACAATGCTTACATACGCTTACCAACAAATTCAATGTTGCACAATTAATTCAAATAGTCTTTCACGGTACTTACTACACTTCTTATTGTTAACAGTTTGGATGGTGGGATCCAGCTACATGGCCAGGGCACGGCAGTACTTGCTCCTGAAGGGCACCAGTCCGAACCAACCGAGGATGCTATGGCTGGCACGAGGGGGGATGAGGTGGAAGGAGCTGGACACCATTCTGGATGCACAGGTCAAGGCGTCACGGCGCAGCCCCAGAGCCCTCATCATTCACCTTGGCTCCAACGACCTGTGCTCGGTCAAGGGCAGCCAACTCTACCTTGACATGGTGGCATCAATCCTTCGGATACAACTCCAGCTTCCTGACACCAAGATCATCGTATCCTCAATGCTGCCCAGGCGCTACTGGCACGATGCCAGGGACCCACTAAAGATCGAGGGGATGCGGAAGAATATCAACCGCCAACTGGCCAACCGAGTCAAAGAGCTCGGCGGTACAATGGTGCCACATCCCCAGATCCTGGCATCAGACAAGACATGGTACGCCTGGGAGGGCGTCCACCTCAGTGACAAAGGACTGTGTGTGTTTACGGACAATTTATTGCATGCTCTGGCGCTTGTTTTGCGCCAGTAAGGATATTATCTCCACAGGTTAGTGTTTCCTTTCAGTACATAGGCAAGCCCGGCAACAATGCTATCTCCGCGTATCGCGTGGCCGTGGGTGTGGGGTAGCACTCTGGTGCTTTGTGGCGGGGTTCTTGTGGGCTACACTGCTAGTAACAAATTAACTTGCTTCCAAATTAATACTCGTGCTTAAGGCTACCTGCTTTTCAGCGGGAACCTTTCCGGGGTTACCTGCTTCTCAGTGGGAACCTTGTCTTTCCCGACTTTTCAGCCGGGGAATCGTAAAATAACATACGTTGGGGCAAACAATTGCCACGTACATGGGCCCGGCGGCGGAAGTCGTCTTGTCAAGCGGTAGCTGACAGTTGGGTCCGCGGCGGGAGCCGCACAATGGTTTTGCTAATGGGGCCGGGCAGTGGGATCTGCTTAGGCCAGCAGCGTGGAGCTGCTTTTGGCAGCGTGGGAGTTGCCAAGCAATGGTAGCGGTTAAATATGCTACAGTGGGGGCCGGACAGCGGTTGCAGTCTCAGGCCAGCAGCGCTAGCTGCAATTGCCATTGGCCACGCGCGTGGCCATGGCAACGGTAGCATTTTGGTATACACAATTAGCAGCTAAGTAGCCCACTAGTACCTGCACACCCTCGGCCATTTAACCCAATCTCATCTTCTGTTTTTATTATAGGCACGGGCATCCCCGGCTCGGTGGCCCGTGCCTCTCCTTGGCATATCGCGGGATAATGGTGCTGTTAGGGATCATCATAAAGTCCTCTGGAGCCAAATATTGTCTATGTCCACTTCAAACAATATGTACCTACCAAACATGTGCTGCTGCGTCATACATCTTCTTGTGCTCCTTGCTTAACTCTGACTGGACTGTCACAAACTGAAACATAAAAAAAATATGAGTATCACAAGACTGTCTGATGTGTAGCCTCCATGTTTTGTTTGTTTGTTGTTTAACACTGCTCTCAGCAATATGACGGCAGTCTGTAAATAATCAATGTGTCACAAGACGGTCTGATGTGTAGAATACATTTATGTCACAGGACTGTCTGTGTAGCCTGCATGTGTGTTACAAGACTGTCTGTGTAGCCTGCATGTGTGTTACAAGATTGTCTGTGTAGCCTGCATGTGTGTCACAAGACTGTCTGTGTAGCCTGCATGTGTGTCACAAGATTGTCTGTGCAGCCTGCATGTGTGTCACAAGATTATGTGTGTAGCCTACATGTGTGTCACAAGACTGTCTGTGCAGCCTGCATGTGTGTCACAAGACTGTCTGTGTAGCCTGCATGTGTGTCACAAGACTGTCTGTGTAGCCTGCATGTGTGTCACAAGATTATGTGTGTAGCCTGCATGTGTCACAAGATTATGTGTGTAGCCTGCATGTGTGTCACAAGATTATGTGTGTAGCCTGCATGTGTGTCACAAGATTATGTGTGTAGCCTACATGTGTGTCACAAGACTGTCTGTGTAGCCTACATGTGTGTCACAAGATTATGTGTGTAGCCTACATGTGTATCACAAGACTGTCAGTGTAGCCTGCATGTGTGTCACAAGATTATGTGTGTCACAAGATTATGTGTGTAGCCTACATGTGTCACAAGATTATGTGTGTAGCCTACATGTGTGTCACAAGACTATGTGTGTAGCCTGCATGTGTGTCACAAGACTGTCTGTGTAGCCTACATGTGTGTCACAAGACTGTCTGTGTAGCCTACATGTGTGTCACAAGACTGTCTGTGTAGCCTGCATGTGTGTCACAAGTTTATGTGTGTAGCCTACATGTGTGTCACAAGGCTGTCTGTGTAGCCTGCATGTGTGTCACAAGATTGTCTGTGTAGCCTGCATGTGTGTCACAAGATTATGTGTGTAGCCTACATGTGTGTCACAGGACTGTCTGTGTAGCCTGCATGTGTGTCACAAGACTGTCTGTGTGGCCTACATGTGTGTCACAAGACTGTGTGTAGCCTGACTGTATGTCACAAGACTGTCTGTGTAGCCTGCATGTGTGTCACAAGATTATGTGTGTAGCCTACATGTGTGTCACAAGACTGTCTGTGTAGCCTGCATGTGTGTCACAAGATTATGTGTGTAGCCTGCATGTGTGTCACAAGATTATGTGTGTAGCCTACATGTGTGTCACAAGACTGTCAGTGTAGCCTGCATGTGTGTCACAAGACTGTCTGTGTAGCCTGCATGTGTGTCACAAGATTGTCTGTGTAGCCTGCATGTGTGTCACAAGACAGTCTGTGTAGCCTGCATGTGTGTCACAAGATTATGTGTGTAGCCTACATGTGTGTCACAAGACTGTCTGTGTAGCCTGCATGTGTGTCACAAGATTATGTGTGTAGCCTGCATGTGTGTCACAAGATTATGTGTGTAGCCTACATGTGTGTCACAAGACTGTCTGTGTAGCCTGCATGTGTGTCACAAGATTATGTGTGTAGCCTACATGTGTGTCACAAGACTGTCTGTGTAGCCTGCATGTGTGTCACAAGATTATGTGTGTAGCCTGCATGTGTGTCACAAGACTGTCTGTGTGGCCTACATGTGTGTCACAAGACTATGTGTGTAGCCTGCATGTGTGTCACAAGACTGTCTGTGTAGCCTGCATGTGTGTCACAAGATTATGTGTGTAGCCTACATGTGTATCACAAGACTGTCAGTGTAGCCTGCATGTGTGTCACAAGACTGTCTGTGTAGCCTGCATGTGTGTCACAAGATTATGTGTGTAGCCTACATGTGTATCACAAGACTGTCAGTGTAGCCTGCATGTGTGTCACAAGACTGTCTGTGTAGCCTGCATGTGTGTCACAAGATTATGTGTGTAGCCTACATGTGTGTCACAAGACTGTCTGTGTAGCCTGCATGTGTGTCACAAGATTATGTGTGTAGCCTGCATGTGTGTCACAAGACTGTCTGTGTGGCCTACATGTGTGTCACAAGACTGTGTGTAGCCTGCATGTGTGTCACAAGACTGTCTGTGTAGCCTGCATGTGTGTCACAAGATTATGTGTGTAGCCTACATGTGTATCACAAGACTGTCAGTGTAGCCTGCATGTGTGTCACAAGACTGTCTGTGTAGCCTACATGTGTGTCACAAGACTGTCTGTGTAGCCTACATGTGTGTCACAAGACTATGTGTGTAGCCTACATGTGTGTCACAAGACTGTCTGTGTAGCCTGCATGTGTGTCACAAGATTATGTGTGTAGCCTACATGTGTGTCACAAGATTATGTGTGTAGCCTGCATGTGTGTCACAAGACTGTCTGTGTGGCCTACATGTGTGTCACAAGACTATGTGTGTAGCCTGAATGTGTGTCACAAGATTATGTGTGTAGCCTACATGTGTGTCACAAGATTATGTGTGTAGCCTACATGTGTATCACAAGACTGTCAGTGTAGCCTGCATGTGTGTCACAAGATTATGTGTGTAGCCTACATGTGTGTCACAAGACTATGTGTGTAGCCTACATGTGTGTCACAAGACTGTCTGTGTAGCCTACATGTGTGTCACAAGACTATGTGTGTAGCCTACATGTGTGTCACAAGACTGTCTGTGTAGCCTGCATGTGTCACAAGATTATGTGTGTAGCCTACATGTGTGTCACAAGACTGTCTGTGTAGCCTGCATGTGTGTCACAAGATTATGTGTGTAGCCTGCATGTGTGTCACAAGACTGTCTGTGTAGCCTGCATGTGTGTCACAAGACTATGTGTATAGCCTAAATGTGTGTCACAAGACTGTCTGTGTAGCCTACATGTGTCACAAGACTCTGTGTAGCCTACATGTGTGTCACAAGATTATGTGTGTAGCCTACATGTGTGTCACAAGATTATGTGTGTAGCCTAAATGTGTGTCACAAGACTGTCTGTGTAGCCTACATGTGTGTCACAAGACTGTCTGTGTAGCCTGCATGTGTGTCACAAGATTATGTGTGTAGCCTGCATGTGTGTTACAAGACTGTCTGGGTAGCCTGCATGTGTGTCACAAGACTGTCTGTGTAGCCTGCATGTGTGTCACAAGATTATGTGTGTAGCCTGCATGTGTGTCACAAGATTATGTGTGTAGCCTACATGTGTGTCACAAGATTATGTGTGTAGCCTACATGTGTGTCACAAGACTGTCTGTGTAGCCTGCATGTGTGTCACAAGATTATGTGTGTAGCCTGCATGTGTGTCACAAGACTGTCTGTGTAGCCTACATGTGTGTCACAAGACTGTCTGTGTAGCCTACATGTGTGTCACAAGATTATGTGTGTAGCCTGCATGTGTGTCACAAGACTGTCCAGTTGATGAGCCAAAATGGGTGTCTCACCTCTGCCTGTTTGAAGCTGAGGCCTCGTGACACGTACATTCCTGATGCCTTCATTTCCATAGCCAACATTTCAGCAACCCCTGGCCACACAAAATGCATGCTGATGATACCATTCAATCTTTTTGTCAAACATTATTTCATATTCTATTCTCAAAAACATTAGCCTTAAATGTTACACTGGTATTTTTATTTGGTCTTAAGGAAATACATCTGAACCTGGCCCATTACTAGCACCAACATACTACATACAACCAACATCTTACTTCTTTGAGTCTTAATTTAAAACATACTTTGAAATGCCACAAAAAAAATAGAATTTTTTAATTTCATGTGATGAATAAATCCAGTCTTGCAAAATTTTGTTATTTTACAGCACAAATTCAACAAAAAACATTCCCCATAATAAGGTTCTGGAACAGTTAAATGCAGTTTCTTTGAGACCAACAGAAATATTGAACACTCAATAGATGTCCGTCAATATGATCATAGTAGGAGGGATGGCCAAGGCCACATTCTGAGACACCTAATTTAACCAGCAGGTGTCCTTCATATTTTCATGGGGAATTACACCTGGCATACTACACTGACCAGACGAAGCACACATGCACTCCTACCTAAACCCTTCTTCTGAACTGATTCCATGAAATGTTCAAATGTTTTGAATGGTGCGCCATCTCCCCACAGTCCAAGTCTCTCCATAAATGCCTGAAATTAAGCCAAAGAAAACAGCATTATCACTATATATGCCCCCGCCATGCACGGGGCACATTGGAATTTTGTTTGTTCATATAGTAGTGAATAAAATTGAAGTTAATATTAGCTATAAAAACAAAGAGTCCTATCCTTGAAAAGAGAAAGGCACTGGGATGGCTTTTTGTCATGAGGAAATCTGGTTTTTGTACTTAGATAACCTTGCAAAGTTTAACTCATGTAACATCAATAGAAAATTTCCCATTGCAGACACTATGCACAAAATATAGAAAAATAACATGGATCAAGGGTCATAACTGTTAATGCACAAAATCTAAAAACATGTAGCAATGGATGTTACTCTGGAAAAACATAATTTATGGCACCTAGTTTTTAATCTTGATAAGTATTTCTTATATAAGCATGCAAAGTTTCATATGTAACTTCTGAAGTTTCTGAAAAAGTCGGTTCCCACTGCAGACACTGCAGGGGAGAAAAACATGTAGCAAGGGAAGTAACTCTGGAAAAACATAATTTATGGCACAAATGTTCAAACTGTCATCATAAGATAAGCTTGCAAACTTCCATTCATGTAACTATAGTACTTTCTGAGAACACTTGTCTCCATTGCACACACTATGCAGTAATAAAAATATATCAATCAAGGGCATTAACTGTGTACAAAAATAATTTACGGCCCCAATTTTCTAACTCGTTCTTGACAAGAATATTTTTTATATGCATGCAAACTTTCATTCATGCAACTTCAGTAGTTTCTGAAAAAATGTGTACCCATTTCATGCAGTATGCACTAAGTTGAAAAGCATGGAACAAGGGCCATAACTCTGTAAAAAATTAATTAACTTAACCAGTAACATCAGTTTTTGAGAAAATTTCTCCTTTGTGAAGCAGACGGACAACTCCGTTCCTTCATGGCAGGGGGTCAAAAACATTTAAAAGGATGAAAGTGACATTGGTGCTGGTGGTGTATTGTTACAGGAAGAATGACATTGATCATCCTGTTTGTTACTTTGTAAAGAAATTGGACAAGCACCAAAAGAATTGAGAAAGAGACCCAAGCCAAGATTTTGTCATTGCAACATTTTGAGGTTTATTTCGGAACAACAGTGTATTCCATTGGAGTGTTCACTAATCACAACTGCCGATGTTTCTTCACAAGATAAAGATCAAAACTTATGGAATAGTAAGGTGGAGTATGTCTTTGCAAGAGTTAAACTTTCTTCTCTTGAAGGAGAGTGTTTTGTGGCAGGATATATATATATTGTTTTAGGAAGTGTTGATTGTTAGCGAAAGCAAAATGAGTGAGGCTCTCATACAATATATATACCTACTACCTCCCTATATAAGAGCGAGATGAGGGCATTTCGAGGCCTTTTACAACCTGGGCCTATATTTTCGAAACGATGGTAGCCCTAAACTTGTAAATTTATCGTAAGGAAATTGTAGGCTATCATAGCCCAAAGATATCTTAAGATTGTCGTAAATCGAAGATAGCCCCATACCTGTCGTAAGTTTATTTATCTTCATCTAAGATGGCGGCATTCTTTTCCATAGATATTTTGCCAAACAATTAGTCTGCTTTACGTTCAAACGTTGACATTTCATTTTGTTAAACTATGTGATTCAAATTGACACTTCGAAAACACAAAGAACTCATCAAAGATTTCACGTAAAAAATGTTCTTAATCGAGACAGCGATCCACATAACTGTGGAGTTGATAGCTTACAATATATTTATATCCGAGTCCATGCTGAAGAAGTGTGAAACAACATACACTACTGCCTAGAAGTTCATTCCCCTTACACGCATGGGCAACGCGTTACGCAACCAGTGTGCATCAGGTTGGTCACTCGTGTGCACCCCGTTTGCCACTCATGTGCAACGCATGACACACTCATTAGAGGGGGAACAAACTTTTGACCAAATAAGACCCATGTTAAGCTGAACTTGGAGGTGGTAACAAGGAGAGAAAATTCTGTTATCCTGACGAAAAATGATCATACACATGTATTTGCTAATGTCTCCTTTCTTTATGTGATTTTGTGGGAATAACATGAATACTGTTGTGATTAAATAGATCTGTCTTGTTTTATACGACCATTCCTTCTAAATCCGATGGTGTTAAGAGAATACATGGTCCTGGAACATGTTATTGCCATTGAAATGCTTTTATTGTGATTTGACATTAACCGTCTGTAGTACGACTTTCAGTGATAATATGTATGAGGTTTGGCGGCGCATTGTTTTTATTGGACCCTAATTACTTTATGATGACTTGGACTCCTTATCTCAGCTCCATAGCCGTGAGGCTGGAAAAGAGCAGCATGTAATTAATGAGGGTGGGTTATATCATTGAGGATACACTTGAGGGAGAGAATACTAATTATCGTACTACAGGAAGAGACCTGTAGACGTAAGCGCGGGGTTGTGTTTTAGCTGGCCGTTCGATAATGGCCGCCAGGAGAAGTGAGCTTTGACTGCGTCATCTAAAATAAATAATAAGATACAGCAGTGTTATTTTCACGGGTCTGTTCAATAAACTCCCAGCGCTACTGTCAATGTATCTTCTACTTGATCCTTGATACATCATTTTGGTATTCACAATATATAGTATTTCAACGTACAAAGGAGCACTGATCTAAAGCAATTCCGCGGGAGTAGTTGTTGCCTGTGCATTACTGTATTTTCCCAGTGAGTACCCGGATGATATAGCAGAAATCTAGACTTGTTCGCGACCTGTGCTCGCCATTCGTAAGCGCATTTTTATTGATAGTAGGACGTATGGTCACATTGATCAACAAAAATGAATTACAGTTTTGGAAATGTAGGTATATTTGTGGGGAGCATCGGTAATGGTGATGAAGTTTTGATAAGTCACTTGCTTGGTAATTGTGCGATCTTCGTGTACATTATTTTGACTTGCAACACAAAGTAAATATTTCATCTGAACATTGCTTATTTTACCGTGTGTATATGTTTACACTCAAAATGTAAACAGATTTCACTAAGGAAATTTATTAAATGCCTAAATATTCAGTTATTTTACAAATTAACTGAAAAATATGTCCATCTTTATTAATATGATAACGAATTCCAAATATTTGTATATGTTTAATATCATCACCAAGTACAGTTCTGTATTGTTTGGCTTCTTTTCTTAGCATAATTAATATATTGTGATGTGTTTAAGCTCTTCTGATCGTCTTTATCATTTTTAGTCAGTCGGTTAAATAAATGGACAGATTATTCAGTCAATTTGTAAAATGATTGAAATATTTAGATATTTAATAAATTGCCTGAGTGAATCATATTTTACACATTGACTGTAACATATACACGCTTACAAAAGAAAATACTTGTGAAAACAACGTCTAACAACTTCCCAACCAAACGGAAAGGAACAAGAATGATTCTATTCAAAGGTGCAGCGAATGAATGAAAACAAAATGCAAATATCATTATTACAACCTACCAAAGTTATAATGCATCCGGGAATATCAACATAAAGGAACAATATCCATTGCGTATGCAGCTGTACAAAAATACTTATTCGATGTCAAATGTATGTGAGAATCAAATACTTTAATAATAATTATTTGGAAACAATAGTTGGAATATATATGAAATATATTAAAATATTTAAATATATCGTTTTTAAACGTTATTTAAATGTATCGGATATTATAACCAGTGTTCGTTTCTTAACTGATCACTTAGTTTGTTTCAGTTCTTTCACATAGGTGCCAAGTCAGCTGAGAAAGCCCACGTGACAACTATATTTATAATGTCCACAGTTCTTCAAAACATCCATTGAGTTCGATAACAATGAAACAACCAGTCAGTGTATTATTGGTTACCCTTTGAACAAAGTATGTTGTTTTTACATCTGTACTTCACGCCATGATATGAGTGTGTTCCCTAGGTTTATTAAACCTACCTTCACATGTAAACACTTACTTTTGACATATCCACTGTGCAAGATAACAGTAATTAATCAATCAACGTATTTCCTGTTGATCCTTTGATGTCTGGGAATGATCCGTTGATTTACAAAAAAAAGTAAAGCAACTGATCATACATCACTTGCTGGCAGCCACGTGCATATTACATAACTCACATTCCACCTCACTTCAAACCTGGATTTAGATTGAATAATTACCCCAGGTACAAGAAAGACCAAATTGGAACCTTCATCGGGTAATCTGAGTGGTGCTACAACTAAGTATACATGTTATAAATTCATTAACTGAGCAGCAAGTGAATTACGACAAATACACAAGTGTAGGGTTATACCAGAAAATGTGGATGACAACAAGGGAGTAGTAATTGTATCATCCACGCAATCCGAAATCCGCAAATGCTTTCACTCAGGGATACTTTTTTTATTATTAAACTGTAACCATCAGGAGTATTTCCAAATAACGACATCCGATGAGCTTTCGCCGTTATTTATCTGTTTGTTTAGGCTGAAGAAATTAATTACAATGCGCCCTTTGTCGAAATCTTCATAGATCACGGGTAACCAATCAGTTTTCAAAAATGCGTAAGTTTATTTAGCTGTCCTTGCAGACTGGTAGCCCAGTCTCTTGTCACGCTTGTCACATTCCCAGGGAAGACAGCCAGTGTCCACTCTGTGATTCTATCGCTGTGGGAGATGAATTGCATTATTTATGCCGATGTGAAGCTTTTCACCAACGGCGATATGAACTCTTAAATAAGCAATATCTTAAGTTTCCAAACATTTAAGAAAATTATGACCACTAACAGTGTAAGAGATCTAAGAGGCCTATCTAAATTCCTTAACAATGTGTACAATATAATTGGTATCCTATTTTTATTATTTTTGTTAAATTGTACATAATAAAAATTGTAGATAATTGTATGTCATGTTTTTCTAAGAATAAATGAGTTTGAGTTTGAGTCCGACACCCGAGAAGAAGCCAGAGATTTGTGCCCCTTTTTGAATAGTTTACAATCATGTGTTTTAGGGTTA